CTTTCGAGTTACCCCCAAAGTTGTCAGGAGAAGGATACCTTAGCTTTCCAGCCAATAACCTACCAGAACTTTTGGAACAGACCTTAGACAACATGCCATTACAACGGAGACATAATTTGTGGTTTCTTCATGACGGGGCACTACCACACATTTTTAGAGGCGTCATTCAGTATTTGAATGAACATTATCCAAATCTCTGGATCGGTCGAAATGCTTCTGATCCTCGAAAATGGTTAGCAAGATCTCCTAAGCTCAATCCGATGGATTTTTGGTATTGGGGAGAACTTAAAGGCATGGTTTATAGGGCTGGTCCAATAACAACTGAAGCACAACTTCGCGAAAAAAAATTTAATGTGGCTGAAATAATAAATGGACAACTTCGAGGACCTAGAGTAAGAAGAAATCGTCGTAATGAAGCTTCTGTGGAAAGTGGAAGTCGACACTTTGAACACCTTTATAAACAAAAAAAGTGCAGTGTGGGTTTTAAAAAGAAAAACAATGTATGTATCAAAATTGTGTTTCCTATTTATAAGTGGATTTTTTTAATACGTTCAATAAACTTTCACACACCAGGTGAAGCGCTGAGACAGTTAGTGGTAAGTCTGTTTTTTTTAATTGTTTGCATTTTACGAGTACATTATCAAATAATGAAATAATACCTAAGAGCCAGAAACAACAAACTCTTTATTTTCACTGCGTTCCGTTGTAATTTGCGTCTGGCATTGCGGCGTTGCCAGACTTTTTTTTTACTTTAAAGTCGCTTTTCTCTAAAAAAATGCCGTTTTGACCCCCATGTTATATGAAACTGTTTGCTTCTTTTAACCTTCTCTATCACCCAATTTAAATAATGACTATAATAACGTTTATACCCTGTATTACTATTGGTTCGGTCACCGGGAAATAGTACTTTTGGCCATACTTCTGTGCCTAAGTCCACAGTTCTGTTCTATGTCGGATTCATGCCTGTCTCCATTTGTAACTAGAAAAAGCCTTGAGGATGTGCGACTTCGTAATCATCAAGGAACGTAATTAACCTCGTTTGTCGACGTTTTCCTGCTCCTGGCTATTTAAAAATAATGAGGGAAGGGGCTAACTTTTAAGGAGTTAGGAATTAAATTTCCCAAGGGTGAACTCCGGGATTTAAAAAATGACCGCTTTGTTTTCAGTCGTAAATCTGCAATAGCCGGTGCGCACTCATTTCAGTAAATGCAGAACGTACAAAACCTAGCCGTTAGGAGAGAAAGAGTACGGAAAATATGAACATACTCGTATAAGAGGGCTGCTCGACTGGTCAATGTACGATATCAAGTATTTCCGTGAGACAGGAGACTACGAAACGAAACGATGATTCGCGCCATTTACCTATGCATGCGACTCAGCGCTGCTAGACGTATGCTAATTATCGTAATTGTATAATCAAATATTTTAAGTTTTATTTAACATAGTCATGTATTTTTAGTTTTTTATATATTTTCAGAACTAAAGTCTATAAATAAAAATCAAGTTCATAGTGTTCATGTGTTCAAGTATTCATATTTAATTGAATCCAAGTATTCAAAACAGCGGTATTCAAATACTTGTTTAATATGTAATCGAATCTTGAGTATTCGGATGCAATAATTATTTAAAATACATTATTTAGCATTCGTATTCAAACGCCGGATTTCAGTATTGGGCCCAAGTCTGAGCGTTTGTAAGTCATTTGGTAATGTAACACCATACACAGTAATGGAATGTATATTGACATGAAATTTTACTCAGGGATACTCTGCAACTTTATTTTTAGAACGGCTTTTGCGACCATCGTTTTTATTATAACAAACGCTATGGATACGAGGTAGCCCATTCATCATGAAAAATATAGGGTGTCCGCAAAGTTGGGGTTTTCCTTTACACGACGTGTAGATCTTGAAAACATAAGCAATTTTTCTTAGTACCATATACACCAATGTCTTAAGGGTACCGAGATAAAGGGTTCTGCAACATCAAAAATATCTAAATACCGTCCTGTAGCCGCGACCCGCGACATCCCCGAGTGGTACTAGGACACTAGCTCAACCCGACGACAGAACTGGGTCGGGGTCAGTGTGTCAGGTCAGTATGCAACCTTCAACCGACGGTTACGGTCACGCGTGTAGAGGTAAACGAACCCGTATAATCGATTGCGTTTCAAAAAACAACAAGCACTAAAGACGTGGCTAGAGAAGTGCAAGTATCAAAAACTAAAGTGTGGCAAACGCTGCGTGAAGCTGTATCCGTTTCACGTCCAACGTGTACAAGCCCTTCAACCTGACGATTTTCCAGCAAGAGTACGGTTTTGTGAGTGATTGTTGCATCAACATGACAATAATCCGGACTTTTTGAAGTGCATATTGGTGATAGACGAATCTACGTTCACGCGTAATGGGGTGAATAATGTTCGCAACACTCATGTTTGGTCAGTAGAAAATCCGCACGCTGTCCGTCGGGCACATTTTCAACAAACATTTTCGGTGAATGTTTGGGCTGGCATGGTGAACGGTATGCTCATTGGACCATTTATTCTCCCAAATCGATTGGACGGGATGCAATACCCAGACTTTTTACGCAACATTTTGCCTTCCGTGTTAGAAGATGTGCCATTAAGTGCAAGACAATCAATGTGGTTTCTGCACGATGGTGCACCGCCCCATTTTAGACGCGAAGTGCGTGAGTTTTTGAATGAATTATTTCCGAATAGGTGGATCGGACGTAATGGACCCGTAGCGTGGCCTCCGCGATCTCCCGACTTAACACCATGTGATTTTTTTCTTTGGCGAGAAATGAAACGCTTAGCGTACAAAACTGAAGTGCATACGGTTGACGAACTTCGTCCCAGAATTGAACAAGCTGGTGCTTTCATTCGGGGGAGGGACTCCATTCTCAAAGCCTGCACCGATGCTTCGCTACGTCGTGCACGCACCTGTGTTTTTGAATCAAACGGCGATAACTTCGAACAATACCTATAAAGTACGTTTACCTAAAAACTGAAAACGCGGCAACGCCGTCATATTTGTTACCTCTGTTCGTGGTCTGCACCACCGCCGGCGTCTGCTCGGTAGCGCATCAGCTAATTTCATTTTCTGTTGGAGCGGTATGATTTCGGGCAGAGACGTACTTAGCCCTTCTCGTCAACTGGAGAGTGAGTACTTTTTCCTTTATTTTTTTTTACTTGGTCGCCCTCGTTTCACTACACATTACCTTTGTTATTTCAAGGGTAGTTGTTTCTGAAAAGGAAAACCCCAAGTTTGCGGACACCCTGTATATTCTGCCAGTTTTGAGAACGTTTTAATAAATAAATAAAGTTAACAAACAATGAACTATGAGAACGACAAGTGACAACACTCTTATTCCAAGGTTTAGAGTACGGGAAGAAAAGTCCACTTTTGACGTTCCAAAAGGATAACTTTGTTCTATTTCTGAACGCATGTAACAGGTACGTCAAACAATTACTAACGCTAAAATTGTTACCGAGTACAAAGTACAATCTGTAACCATTTATGAATGCCTATTTCTTTGAGCGGTTCAAGTTGGTCATATGAAATTAACGCATGAATACTATGTTATAACGTAAAAATAACAGTAGTGAATTTCCAGATAGTTGCTGGGCGCAATCTTGTATTTTTTTTAACTGGACCATAGGATCATGTGATACGTTATTTTGAAGCTTCTTATGAGTAAATTATAACCTTGAATGTGAAATCAGAATCATTTGGAAGAGCGGTCTAGCAGGTCATCAAATTGCGCCCTTTTACATTGGATCGTTCTTAGCTTAACAACTAATCATCAAAGCACTATGTTATATAAATTATCTGTCTTTGGGAGAGTATGTCTCAATATGAAATAGTAGAACAGTGGTCAAGTCAAGTGTCTCGAGTTACGTTGATAATTTTGGAATAAACAGTGAGCTACCATGAGCAATGTAAGCCAATTTAAATGATTTATACACAGTTGTATGAGACATACATGTGTTTATTTTACTAATACTAATACTTTCTAGCATATTACAAAAATCCTATTGGAAATTACGTGTTTTATATGCAAGTAGACGTGTTCTGCCTTTTGCTTTGCGAAAAAAACTAGCTGAATCCCTCATTCTCCCAATTATTAATTATAGTAATATTCTTTACCAGCCTTGCTTGGATCAGCTCAGTAAAAGACGTTTACAAGTGATTCAAAACAACTGCCTCAGATTTACGTGTAGTTTAAGAAAATACGACCATGTTAGCCATGCTTACAACAGTATTGGATGGATGAAGCTCGAGTGTTTGACAAATTTTCATTATTTGGTCTTCCTGCATAAGCTGCTCGCATCTGGTAAACCCAAATACCTAAGAGAAAAACTTATTTTTTCTAATGAAATACATAACAAGATATACATTAAATATATTAGAATACCCCATTACGTCACCTCGCTTTTCCAACGCTCATTTTCCTATAATGCTGCTAGTCGCTACAATAATATTCCTGATGATTACAAAACCATGAATCTGTCTTGTTTCCGTAAGTATGTTAGGCTATATTTACAGAGCTCTACATTATAATGCGTATTCTTTGTCTAATTTTTGTTAATAATACATTTATAAGTTAGTTTATGGGCACATATGCTTGTAGGCATTTAAATTAGTTACTTGTTTGATTGAACTGCTTTCAATACTATTATGACATTGTAATAGCCAAACTATATTTTTTTTGTCTCATCTATACCATCTTTTTTTTTCGTATTCATATGGTTAAGTGTAAGAGTCGCTTTGGCTAAACTTCGCCATCATGAATCGCACTCTGTATCTTTGTAAATAAAGACGATATTATTATCATTATTATTACATACTAATAAACTTAAATAAACTGATAACTAATACATATTTCATAACCACATCCAGTCCCACCAGTCGTAGGTGTTTGAAAAATAAACAAAATTTTCCGTCAGCTACAATGGCATGTCACATACGATTTAATAAAGGTAACTAGAAATAAAAAAACGCACAATTTTAAACAAAAACATGTCCAGATAAAAAATGTGTGTTCAATGAGAAGACTGACACACAGACTCACTGACAATTTTTATAATGTGTGGAGTATAATTTGATACCACCACACAAATATCTAAATGTTGATCTGTAAGTCGAAACGCAAAACGCAATCACTTCCATTTCTGTCGCAGCGATGTCTTCGCTAAAATTCTGCGTAACAGAAGTTGCATACTGTTGGATATCAATTTCCATGAAGGGTGAAACATTAAATTGCTCAACTATAGCAATTTCGTTGGAATCCTTCAAGCTAGAGACTATTTTTTCTACATGAGATTTACTGTCATATGGTTCTAATGGAGATTGAGATAACTTTTCTGAAAGAACAGGAAAATGCCTGGTACCGCCAACGATTAAGTTTTATTCGGAAAACTCAACCTTTTTGATAACCGCTTTTATATCAGAAATCATTTCTGCTGTTTTTTTGTCTCTCCCCTGAAGATGCATGTTAAGTTCATTTAATTTTTCTGTAATATCCACAAGAAAACCAAAATCTCTAAGTCAGATTGAATTTTCTAGCTCCGGAATTGGTTCATCACGTTGTTTGAAAAATTGAACTAAGGCTGTTATGATATCATTAAAACGTTTCAGCAGTCGTCCCCTACTTAACCATTGGACTTCAGAGGGGAGAGGTAGTTCCCAGTATTGACAGTCAATTTCATCGGCCAAGGTTTTGAATTCCATAACATTGTCTAGTTTTAGAAAATGTCCACAAAATGCTTGCTGATGGATAATGCAGTGGTAACAGAGAAATTGTGGAAAACTTTCATTGTTACGACATAACCACACGAGACCCGTATCACCATAGCTGGAGCGCCATCGGTTGTCAAGCCTATTTTCGATATTGGAATTTTCTCAGAAGAAATAATATTTTTAAAGGAACAAAACAAGTCCTGCCCAGTAGTCTGTTCTTTTAGTGGAATAAACTTCGACATATCTTCTTTAATCTTAAAATCACTAAGAACCATCCTGACGAACACGACCATCTGAGAGGTGTCAACGACATCTGTAGATCCAGCTGCAGTGAAAAATAAGCACAGTTATCGAAGTCATTTCTTAACTGTAAAACTGTATCATTTCTCATTTCTTCTACTCGTCTCGTCAATGTATTAGCAGAAAGTTGCATGGATTTTATAGCAGATACTATATCGGCTTTATTTCTAAAGTTGGCAAATAATGAATCTGCAGCTTCTAAAAATGCCTGTTTTATTATTTCGCCGTCTTCATAATGTTTCTTCTTTTGTGTAATTATCTGGGACACCCGGGATGATGCTGCAGTTGCAACCCTACTTTTGTCGATTGTTTTCAAAAACATTGTCTGTTGTCTAATTGACTGATTTTTTAGTTGTTTCAGTTTTTCCGTTCTGTTTGCAGAACGTAATGTGAATGATTTTTGAAAATTTGAATGTACAGTTTTATAGTGCCTCTCGATATTCTCTTTTTTAGCAACGGAAACAGATGTATTACACTTTTACCTTTAACTTCTTTAAAGAATTAGTGTTCTTCCCATTCCGAATGGAAATGGTATGTCTTCATCTTCTTACTACTGCTTATAACGTTTTTAATTGCAGGCCAACTCTAACCCAACCGCTGGACTTTGTGCCTTTCAGTTTTAAACTGAGCGCGCTGTCGCCGCGCCTTGAGTATTTATTCCGTTCAAAGTAATCGAGATCGTTCTCGTATAGATCGCTCACCCTAGTGTTGCCGCTGCTTGTGTTTATTATGAGAATTTACAAAAATTACGGAAGCTTCTATGATTTTTACACCTTTTTAAAATATGTTCTCTGCCACCAGAATTGTCTTTGCAAAAGAATATATATCTGTTTTAAAAAAATTGACAGATTTTGACAATTTTCTTAATCGGAATATTTATATTATTTTAGTGAATCTGGATGCGTCCTCAGACCCCTTAAAATCGGTAAGTCCTGCGCAAATCGGGACACCTGCCAACGCTAACAGTGACAGAAATCCTATCAAGAGCAGCGTACTCGAAATTTGAATTTTGCATGCATAAACGGTATGAACTCAGTCGAAGACCTAAGGTACGCCTGCTGTGCACTTCTCTGAGGTCTCCTCAATGATTGTTAGATAATACAAACGTCAAATAAATGAGTCATATGCTTTTTGTCTTTGGCCTTTTTCTCTGCTGTCACTGGACCGATTTTCAAAAGCTTTTTAATCCTTGGCACATTAGTAACCTTTTGTTTCCAAATACGTGCGGTACTTTCCAAGTCTTAGACGGGCAAAGGAATACCAAACGACTGACGGAAACGAGTGACATAGTTTTTCGTGATGTACATGTCATGTAACATCCAAAAACAATCTCATTTTTGAAAAGACTAATTTTTAGTGTTTACGTATGAGCTATTTGAGATAGCCTATTATCTGAGAAATTTTCATGTAATTAAGCAAATTAGTATTTTGCGTACTAACCTTATCTTTTATCACTATAATAGGCAGCTGTTTTTTTGTCATTTCAACAGCTGTTTTTGCTGTTTTGGAAATAGCACCATCATTCAAAGTAATGAGCACCTTGGCCGACGAATCTACCAGTTGTTTGTATACTTCATCTGAAAAATAACAAACTTTAATAAGGTTTATAGATTACGAATAGTTGGATCACTGGCAGGGAAACCATTTATTTTCTGACTTCTTGGGCGTTGCTGCTAACCCTCCCAGAAACCAGATGACTGATTAGCTTAGTTCGCCCAACACAATTCTAACCATCAGACACTGTATTGTAAATATGTGGCAAACAATTAAAAAATCATAAGTCAACTTTTTCGACTTACAGTAATGGACAAAAGTATATAGACAAACTAATATTGTGCTGTATTTCTTTTTTAACTTGTTTTATTAATACACCAACCTGTATACATAATTCGTTATAGCATATATATACATAAATAAATTCATTAGACTCCCTTCAATAAAAAATTAATTGAAAAAACTGGAACTATGAAGGACAAAAATATATAGGGAAAGCAAAAAATTATAGAAAAAAAGAAGCAAAGTTCATTGAATTATAGAAAACCAACCATGAAATGATTGGGGCGGGCATTCTCAGTATTTATCAAACGTACCGTGTTGAGTCCTTGAAAAAAAGTTCTTGGCTGCTTCGCGAAAGAAGAAATTGGTTTACCGCCGAGTGATTGCACTATCAGCATTCCATACACTTTGCTATTAATTAGTGTGATTAAAATATTATCGTAATTATGATAACGCCAGATCGGAGAAAACGGATTCTCTCAAGGTTTTCCAGATATTCTTTTGTTTGTTTTATACAGGGTGTAAACGTTATGATAGTCATTATTTAAATGGGTGATAGAGGGGGTTATAAGAAGCAAATAGTTTCATATAACAAGGGGGTCAAAACGGCATTTTTTTTAGGGAAAAGCCAGCCGCAAATTACGACGGAACGCAAAAATAAAAATGGATGCCATTTCAAGAGGGGTGAGGTAGGATATTGTAGGGGGGTGGATTTGTCGATGAAAATAGCTAAAAAATACGCCCCTTAAATATCGGTATGTCGCCACCAAACACATTGTATAGTAAATACTTTTAAGTTTTTAATCTATTCTTCTTTCCTTTTAGATTAATTCATGCTTGATTATTTTTCTTTGAATATTATTGATAAAGTAGTACCTTGCTATATTATGTACTCGTACTTCATTGGAGCAACACTGTATTGATTACAGCGTTTGTCTAAAATAGGCGAATGCAGTAACGAAGTTAATGTGGTTGTTACGGTGTTTGACTGAAATGGGTCAGTCATTACAGGGAATGACTGAAATGTTTAGTCAAACGTTGTAATAGTCAAACCATTACGGTGTTTGCCGGCAATATGGAGACTCACTAGGCACTTCAGGGAATGACGGCACCCATCAATACGACAGATATCTTGCGGGCAGATAGTCAGCCGCCTATCTGCAAAGCTTCTCTGGGAGGCCATATGACAGTCTGAGCTTATCCCACAATTGCGTGGCGTAAGCTGGAGCTTCCCTGTGGATCGCTGGTGCCGGAAACCATACAGCCTCCCGCTATTCAAGCCGTGACGCTCGAGGTACTCCAGAAGCTGGCGACTTATGCACCTCTCCATCACCTTACTCACAACAGAAAGCACAGCTATATGCCCGTTGTAGTTGTAAAGGTCGGTCTTGAATCCCTTTTTTTGATATGGGTGGGGCTTGAGCATATTTACAGTTTTTTTGGATTTTTTTTAGATTTAAGTTTAGGCTAATTGAAAGTGTCGATACGTTACCATTGAGCCGTATTCTTAAAACAAAGGATATCCTTGAACTTGCAAATTTTGAAGGAAATACTCCAATTTGTATTTATAATAATTTGAAGTAAATGCTTTCGCTTTTTGAGTGTAAGCATATCCTTCAAAGCAGTGACATAAGTAAAAGGATATTCATAATCTTCACCTTATACTTGGCATAGGAAGCATATCCTTCAAAAATTCTGAGTGTGGTCAGTAGCAGACTCAACTTCGTAACGAAAGGTGGTCAAACGATGATGGCGGAAATTATGGATGTTAGGGATGCTATCCTCGTTTACCTTCACTTGGTCGTGATTTCAAAAAATTATATCGGTTTGACGAAGCAAATGTACAATGGCTTGCGGACAGTTTTTAGTTGAGAACGAGGAAAGTCGAGGAGGAGCACTTTCATGTATTCATGAAATGAAGGTATGTCTACGCTATCTCGGTGACCCTGGATATCAACAAGATATTGGTCAGGAACTTGGTGTTAGTCAAGCAGCGGTATCTCGGACTAGGAATCCTGAAACCAAATCGCCATGGAGATGAGTATATTAACCGAAAAGGGAAACCTACTTAAAATGTGCAAGCCACTTGTGATGCCAGAGGGATGTTCACAAGTGTTGATGTCAGTTGGCCTGGATCAGTGCATGATTCCAGAATATGGAGAAATTCACAGACAAGATCACAACTGATAAATAAAGCAAATGTTGTACTACTTGGCGATGGCGGTAATGGTATTGCGCCATGCCTTATAACTCCCTTCAGAAATCCTACTCCAGGTGCAGAAATAAATTATAATAAGCTTTTTAAACAAGAAAGAGTTATAATTGAACGCTGTTTCGGCCAACTGAAACGCCGGTTTCCTATCCTACAGTATGTTTGCCGCGTAAAGTTGGAAAATGTGCCGAAAATAATTATTGCTTGTATTATACTCCATAATGTTGCGAAGAGCTTGGGCGATCCTGACTTTGAGTTAATTGAACAAGACCCAGATGAAGATGAATGAAATCATGAGAATGACGAACTTCCTCTAAGCCAACTAGGTCAACAAATAAGAAGAAACTGAAGTATTATAATAAATAGTTTTACTGATTGAAGTGTATTTATAAGTTATAAGCTTTATTTTCGTGAACATCATAAGTTTCAGGTGGCTTCTGACGCTGCATCATTTCTAATTTCGTTTTATAATACTCTTGTTGTAAAATACTTGTTTGGTACTGCTGTAATAGCACTAGACGTTGCAGTTCTTTTGTAGTTAACCCTTTGGTTTCCTCAGTTTCGTATTTCTCTGTTGCTAATTTTCTTTTTGGTGGCAATGTCTTCTGAATTGCTGGCGCTGTAATACTAACTGTTTGCTCACTGCGCTCGGTATATAGGTATACTAAGTGACATATAAATCCGAACACCCAGTTTAAATGGTTTTATTTTAATAAAATTTTGTATAAGTACTTAATGAAGCATAATAAGTAAATGATAAAAATTTCAAAATGATTGCACTGCTTTAAAGCCCTTTGACCTTTAATAATGTGTGGATGCACCCTGATGTGCTACGCATTCTCCAACGCGCCTAGGCATGCTTCTGATCAGGTGGTCAATGTCCTCCTGTGGTATCTCATTCCAGGCAACCACCAACTCCTCTCGAAGTGCTTCTAGAGTCTGAGGAGGATGTTGCAAATTGAGCAATCGCCTACCCATCATATCCCACACGTCCTCAATTGGGGATAAGTCGGGAGATACTGGTGGCCATGGTAACAATGTGACATCATTATGTTGAAAGAAGTCTATTGTGACTCTTGCAACATGTGGTCGGGCATTATCTTGTTGGAAAGTTGGATCTGCCAGGGTGTCAAGATAGGGTAAAAGATGGGGTTCTAGAACTTCGTGGATATAACGCTGCGCGTTCATGTTACCTCTGATGAAGATTAAAGGTGACCTGGAACCATAAGCTATAGCACCCCAAACCATAACTCCAACAGTGTGATGAACATGTCTTTCAACAAAAAACTGTGGATTCCTCCTTTCACCACGTCGCCTTGTAACCCTGGCACGACCATCGTGCATGCCTAAACAAAATCGAGACTCGTCACTAAAGACAATACTGTTCCATTCCTGATCCCAGAGTGACCGTTGTCTGCACCACTCAAGGCGATTACGTCGGTGTTCTCGAGTTAAAGGGAGGACCCAGTGTGGCCGGTATGAAAACAAGCCAAAACTTCTCATTCGTCGGTAAACACTTCGCATGCCAATAGGTCTTCCGTGTTCTGCAAACCATTCATTTGCAATGGACCTGGTAGTGGAGAAACGGTCCCTTAAGGCCAATAATCTTAGGCGGCGATCTTCACGGTCTGTTGTTCTATGGCGGCGTCCAGTGCCAATTGCTCTTTGCGTACGGCCTTCTCGAAGCCATGCCTGACAACACCTAACCACAGTGTCTACACTTCTTTGTACTCTAACTGCAATTGCCCGAAAAGAAAGTCCAGCTTCCCGAAGTCCCACTATACGGCCCCTATCAAACTCACTAAGTTGACGAAATCGTACAGGTCTCCGTACTCTAGGCATCGTAACCGATCGAAAAGGATGTCAAGAACCAAAATCTGCCAACGTTGATTCTTTAGTGCGGCTGAAATATTCATTTTTAGAGCATTAGTGAATTAAAAAAAAGCAGTATAAAAACCGGAATGTCCAACTGATAAGGCTGAAAATTTTTTCGCTTGTTATTTACAGTAAGATAAATACATTCACCAACTTTTATTAAAATAAAACCATTTAAACTGGGTGTTCGGATTTATATGTAACTTAGTATAGTTCACTTCCTTCTTCTTGAACACTACCAACCTGAATGTACCTCTAATTTTCCCAATTCTAGTATTACAGTCACCTTCCATAGCTTTCAGCAACTGTCTTTCCCAATCCAGCAATTTAATTGCTTTATTACCAGTTTTTTTTAGATCTGTTTTTTCTTCAATTTTGATTTCATGTTGTTGATTTTTTTTAATAAGCCTTTGGTATCTAATGGTTTACCGAATGTTGATTCGTATTTTTTCAACATGTTCTTTAAGGCATCGTCCTCTCTCATTTTTATTTTTGGAACTTGTGACTTTTGCAAAATAATTTGGGCAATGGCAATTTCATCTGCGATGAACTGCAGGTCGTTGCCATTATTTTCAATAGTTTCCTCATCACTTGAGGATGACATGCTTATTAATTTGATAAAAAATTGTATCCAGTAAACATACGGAACGGTCTGTGTAAGCTCTGGAGTACAACTGTCAGTGATGCTGAGTGAACGAACTCCCACAAGCTGGAACAAGTCAGGACATGTCGCTCAAGATACAAATACCAGTCAACCTTTTACTTCTTCTTGGAGGATATCCTCGCGAGTATAAGGTAATCATAATGAACATGGATATGCTTATACTTCTACCTTTTTCTCTGAAGCAAGACCTTATACTTTTACCTTATGCTTCCGAGGATATGCTTCTCTTTCATGAATACGGCTCGATGTGTCAGTTTTCTTGTGCATCCCATGAACAAAAATTCCATACCCTCCCCTGGAAGCTACTTACCGGCGGTGTAAATCGGATTCATGGAGGTAATAACCAATCCGGCTTCTAATATCCCGAGACACGTTATCATATACTCGGGGATGTTGGGGGAGAGGATCGCTACCACGTCGCCTTTCTGCAGTTTCAGTTTTTTAATCAGGTATTTGCTGAGGTTGCGCGCCTTACAGCGCACCTCCTCGTAGCTGTATTTTCTGCCCGTTTCGCTGCACTCCTGAAAATATACGATATTAGAATGGGTCTTTGTTGCTTCATAGTCAGCGAATGAAGCTGTTAATATGATTCAGTGGCGGTGGAAGCAGCTGGCAACTGTAATGCGATAACAACGCGACTGAAGGCAACTAAAACGCGACTGTAATGCAACGGCAGCATGCACTTTCCTCAGATTATGTGTGATACCACCATTAAACTCTATAACTTTGTTCCAGCACAGGCATAGGACATGTTCAGAACTGAACGCGCACGCGTATTTCAAAATTTTCATGTTCATAACACATTATCTGCTCGAATCAAGCTACAATATAATCGTTTTAAATTGTTCCTGCCTTTAATTGTAGTGGGACTTCAAAACAAATTGCACACTAATATTGCCACTTTTTCTCCTCTACAAGATGGCATAATTAGAATTCTAATATAAAGTTTCGTCACTTGTCATCCAGCATCAACCTTATTTTTTCTTATGGAGGCATTTGCTGAATAGAGTTTTTAATTTTGATTTCAAAAATTTATAATACTTATACATTGGCATTGGCAACCCTTAGTTCAGTGGCAGTCCCAGGATTTCTGTCTGGGAGGGGTAAAATGGATAGTAAATTCCCACTGTGACGTACTGAAGTGTTATTATAATTTAACATTAAAAGCATGGACATATGCAGACATATGAATTTGTTACAGTAATTTCTGTAGAAAATACATACATTTTTTTTTAATTTTGAACCATACGAAGCTTGAGCAATCTTTACATATTAAAACAAAAATGCAAAATAATATAATCTATCACACTGTTTTCTACATAACAATGTCAGACAAAACAACAAAAAATACATCTTCATGAAAAAAATAACAATAACAAATATGTTACGACTTCTATAAAGTATAAAACTGAATGTAAATCAAAATAAAATTCTTAATTATGAGAAAAACACAAAAAATATTCATTGCATAACTACATTCTCTTAGCCAGACTCCGCTTTTGAAGAAGCTTCGCGGTATTTCCAATTTGACAGAATATTTAGTACCTCTACAGTTTTCTCGAATTTGCTTTCAAATTGGAGCATAGAATCATGTCTCTCAGTCCATCGTGTTTCGCACATACTATGAAAAACATTTTTGCAATTCCATTATAGTGCCCTTTTGTTCACCTAACGTTAGGTCACACGTATCAGTACCAATGCTCACACATAGTTTTGAGTCTAAGTTATTGGTTTTAATGAAATGCTTGACTGTTTGAGCAAGAATTTGACCTGTGAGTTTGGGCTCCATTTTATCTTCATCAAAATTTGAGTAGCAATCCACAAATCCCATGAAGTCCTCATAAATCTATTTTTGATAACTATACCGTAATACGATTGACATTTATGATCTATGGCTAATGTGTGTAGTTACGTCAAATATAATACTGTAATACTGTCTTTACGCGACTTAAAACTATATCCAAGATTTTCTTCGCCACAACAGTCTATAATTACATTTTGGATGCGGTTGCTTATGTCCGTAGCATGCGCTTTTGAGTTCTCTAAGTTTTTTTTTCAATAACTTGTCCCCGCTCTCGACTCTAAACCATATTAGTTCTCTAAAATTCCCTTCATTATTATGGACTTCCTCGTCATATAGGAGTCAATCTTTGCCGATTTTATGATACTTGCTTAATTCGCTCTGAACCTATTATATTTCTTATATCATTCTCTGGATTTTCGTAAATCTTTAAAAAATTTGTAGAATCTGAAACTGCTTCTGTATAATATATATAGCTCTCATGTGTCTCACAATCACCGGTTTTGCCGTACAATTTCGAAAATTTCTTTAGTGGTACGGTAACAAGTATTCCTAATTTAGTTGATTTATGTACTCCTCGTAATTTTGCAAAAACCACGCAATATTTACAGAAAAGCCCTCGTAGTTCCTCTGAATATGACAGTCAAGGAAATTTCTCGAAGTGTTTTTTTTGATAAGTAACATTTCACTTCTTTATTATTTTTCAAGTGTGTGGAATAGGGATATTTGAAAGAGTCATTAGGGATCATTGCACACCTCAAAAAGGTATATTTCTTATGGGAAAACGAGTTGCCGCTAAAATTTGCATATGGCGCAACATCAACAAAATTGGATCCTTTAGGTTTCGCACCCCATTGTTCAACACTTGGTTCAGCGTACGGTGCCACATCAAGAAATTTTGTGGAAGGCTCAGGTTGAATTGTAGGATTATCATCAGTTTTTTCCGGTAATTCTTGTGCCGGTGGATCAGACAGTTTGTTTTGTTTAGAAAGGTACAGATGGTATTCTGTTTCCTTTTACTCATCCTGATAACAAAAGCCGTCAACCAGCACTAAAAGTTACACAAATATTGTCAAATAAACGGCATTATTGGTTTCCACGCATTCATGTATCTCATAACAAAGAACCTTTTCTGTTTGGAAAACAAGGTTTCTTAAGTTCACGCAATGTTCAAAAACTAAATATACTAAGTGACATATAAATCCGTACACCCAGTTCAAATGGTTTTATTTTAATAAAAATTTGTATAAGTACTTAATGAAGCGTAATAAGTAAATGATAAAAATTTCAAAATGATTGCACTGCTTTAAAGCCCTTTGATCTTTAATAATGTGTGGATGCACCCTGATGTGCTACGCATTCTCTAACGCGCCTAGGCATGCTTCTGATCAGGTGGTCAATGTGCTCCTGTGGTATTTCATTCCAGGCAACCACCAACTCGAAGTGCTTCTAGAGTCTGAGGAGGACGTTGCAAATTGAGCAATCTCCTACCCATCATATCCCACACGTGCTCAATTGGGGATAAGTCGGGAGATCTTGGTGGCCATGGTAACAATGTGACATCATTATGTTGAAAGAAGTCTATTGTGACTCTTGCAACATGTGGTCGGGCATTATCTTGTTGGAAAGTTGGATCTGCCAGGGTGTCAACATAGGGTAAAAGATGGGGTTCTAGAACTTCGTGGATATAACGCTGCGCGTTCATGTTACCTCTGATGAAGATTAAAGGTGACCTGGAACCATAAGCTATAGCACCCCAAACCATAACTCCAACAGTGTGATGAACATGTCTTTCAACACAAATCTGTGGATTCCTCCTTTCACCACGTCGCCTTCTAACCCTTACACTGACGTAATCGCCTTGAGTGGTGCAGACAACGGTCACTCTGGGATCAGGAATGGAACAGTATTGTCTTTAGTGACGAGTCTCGATTTTGTTTAGGCATGTACGATGGTCGTGCCAGCATTTATTAAAATAAAACCATTTAAACTGGGTGTTAGGATTTATATGTCACTTAGTATACATAATTTGCCATTTTGAACGAACGAAATGCACTGGTGTGCTTATATACAGGGACTTCCGAGACAAAATAGACATAGATGATAATCATAGCTGGAGTATGGACCAAACACTTCGTAATTGAAATTATATTAAATTTCCATTTTTTTAGACACGATTCTTTTATAGTATAAAAATTAAAAACAAATTAATTTTCTGGCTTATGCGTGGAAAATAAAAAATCAATGCTGTCTGTTGCATAAGTAACTTTCTAGTAGTTAGTGCATTTTCCCCTCAAAAGCCAACTATCCCCAATGTGTCTACCAACAATTTATGGTTTACTATGTCGAAGGCTTTTCTTAGATCCACAAAAATACAAAAACAAAGAGTTTTGTTATCAAGATTTCGGTGTATTTGATTAACAACATCTAATATTGCACCTAATGTAGACTCTCCTCGGTAGATCCGTATTGGTTTTCATATAAAATTTGATATTTGAGAAACTGAAGCACTCTAGCAGATATTGTTTTTTCAAATATTTTTCCCATATTAGATATCACTGATATAGGACCGTAATTGTTAATATCTGTCAGATCTCCTGATTTATATACATATTGGTGTTACGATACATTTTTTTAAGTGGAGGTTGAATAGATATATCAATGATCCTGCTATATCATCGCCTATAATTTTCTGATGCTCATTTTAATGCCATCAAATTTCAGGGACATAATTGTAGCCTATACTTCACGTTCTTCTACTTCGTCTAAAACTGAATTTAGTGACCTTGTTTTTAATTTAGTAGTAGATGGTTTAGATTAACTATTTGTATTTTCAGTAATCTCATAAATATTACACCAGACTCGTCTAGTGTCACTTTACTATTATCTAATTTTAGTAAAAAAGTGCGCTCGTTTTGTCTTCCTAGTAAGCTTTAAAAATTTATGTTTGTATTCATTGTGACGTTCTCTTTTGTTGGCGCTAATTTCATTACTATGTAAAGCCTATTTTTCTCATTTGACGATTTTATTAATCCCTAGCAATCCAAGCACTTCTATCCCGCTGTTTGCTCATAATTCTTACTTTGTTGTTACTGATGTCTACAAATTTTTTTATCTTTTCTATGAATATGGCCGCAGCTTCATCTGCATTGTTACCAGAATATAATTGTTGCCATATTCCCTATTTTGGGTTAATAAACTATAATTAGTACCGACCAAACGGCAAAGATGCTGGAAGATTAACAAAAAAAAACCAGAACATGGACTACTGGAACAAATATGTTGAAAGGATTCCATTGTCTTGCCAAGTCAAACCACATAAATGTTTAAATTTTCGTTTATTGAATTTAAAAAATCCCATCTTGGTGGCCGAAACGCCCTATAATAAATAGAAACATACACAGTGTGTTTCAAATTCGACCTTCACCATTGAGATTTCGGAAATTGAAAGAGATATGACATCGCTTAAATAGAGGCAAGTTGTGTATTTATGTAATCAACAAAATGCCACTTAGAAAGTATTTTCGGAGAGAGACAAAAAAACGCATTCTCCCAAAATCGTTTTACTTTTTTTTCTTCTCTACAGAATAATAATTAGAATTTCAATATGTCGTTTCGTTTCTTATCCTACAGCATCACGTTTTTTAGGGACGCCATATTGGATTTCTGCACAGATGAATAGAGTTTTTAATTCTGTTACCAAAAATGTAAACATCAAATAATTCGTTGATTAGTTGTATCTTTATTCATGTTTCAATACGATGCACAAATGCAACATTAATGGTCCATGTACAGGCAGTGCCTCGTATGGAAAAATGTTTCACTTCAATTTCTTATTTGCGAAAAATATGGTTAAATATAATTTTTTTCATCAAGTTATTTTATCGCTTAGGGAATCAACCTTGGCCCCTTTTTGAGCCACAAAACACTCACAGATTATTTTTTTTAACATCAAAGTCGGACAAAGAATTTTCATGTTATTGCAATAAAACCACTAAAATCCTGACCTTCTGCCATTTACCTTGATCATTTCTATTCGCACGACACTGACATCGAACACTTTCGAATATAATATGCTCTGACATGACAATTAATTCCAAATAAAAATATCTCAACTAGGTCGGTAACTTAACAATTTGAAAGGAAGACTAAGTTTTTCTATGACATACGATGACACTGACTGATGCTAAATGTTCTTGCTGGTACCCATGATTATAGTTTGCCGTACATTCCATTACTATCAGTATTAAGATACTCAAATTTTTGTATAAACTCAAATAGCTTCACAACGATTGAAGATAAACTTTATTATAAAGCGTGTTCCATTTTAATCTGAAAAAAAAACTTTTCGTCCGTTTTCGTAATATTTTTGGACGACCAAAATGCGTACTTGCGTTGTTAAAGAGTCCATAATAACAAATGGCAGACCTCTGACAGTTCATATGTGCTAAACATATGTCAGTTGACACATTCAACATGTGAAAAAATGATAGTTGAAAAAAGAAGCAATAGATGGAACATCATTTACAAAAGTTACTAAGAACTTCATGGCAAATCTGAATATTAAAAAAAATGGGGGGTTTCCATTTAAAAACTTAAAGGGCAACGCTTTATTTTATTTTTGGATCACCCAAAATATACCAGGAGAGTCACAAATGGGGGTGCGACCTTTTCGTTTCGCCATCCAGTATAACAGTTTGTCATCAATCGACACTTTCAAGGATATTTTAATATAATAATAATAATATAATGATACTATAATAATAATTTGATAATAATATAATAATAATATAGTAATAATATAATAATAAATATAAATAGGGTTAGAGGTAAGTGTCGTGCGTATAGAAGTGATCAAAGTGAAGGGTAAATTGCCTCTATTGTTTGGCAGTTTGATTGTAATAACATGAACATTTTTTACCCGATTCAGATGCTCAAAAATTCAATCTGTGAGTATTTTAGGGCTAAGAAAAGTTCGTAGTTCCAGTTTTTTCGTCAAGTATTGCTGAGGTTGGACGCCTTATAGTACAAAAGTTGGTAACTACATTTTATGCTTATTTGACTACCCCCTTGAAAATATATAAAAGTGAAATGCTGCTACACAGTTGTTGCTGCTGTTGTTATCATGTTTCTGAGGTGGCGGAGGCAACTGTCATTGTAACGAAATAGCAACGCGACTGCAAGGTGACTGCAACGCAATTGCAATGCAACGATAACGTGCATCATGACTCGGTACTTCTCTTGAAGTATGTTGAACTACAACAAGTATAGGGTACTCGTGCTTCAGATCAACATAACTGTCCGTCAAATTTTCGCTTCAATTGTGTATATAAAAGGGTATTATAAAAGTTTTGCAATATGACTTAACAAACGGACGCATGTTGAGATATGTCCATAAGTGCATAGTATCCGCCAGCAGCACGTCTGTTGATTTAGTTGTTCATTCGTATTGACTGTGTAAATTGCGGACTATGGCTTCGTGGTCACGTAGTGAGATAGGGGCAGTTTTACGCTATAATTTTACGCGTGGTTTAAGTATAGGAAAATACTTAGAAGAAATCACGTTTGCATTAAATAATGATTGTCCTCATAGTACAACTATATTCAGGTGGAACAGAGGATTCCAAAGTGGCAATTTCACTCTGGAGGATGAGGGAAGGAAAGCCGCGAAGGTCAGTAAAAGAGGAAAACATTGCTGCTATGAGTAAAATGCTTGACGAAGACCGGAGAGTGATATACCAACAGATAGAGGAGACCTTACACCAGCAACTCACTTCATTCGGCATGACCATTTACTCATAAGGAAACTTTATTCTCTATGGGTACCGCATAGTCTGACGGAAGAGCAGATGAATGTTCTGTGTACCATAGCTAAGTGGTAGATAGAACAGTGCCTGCCTAAAGTCATAGATTCTATGAAAAAGCTGCGGCCAAAGTCAAGAATGGACACTTGGTAACTCCATCACGACAACGCTCCAGCTCACTGCACCAAAGCCTGCACCGAGTATTTGACCCCTACTGGACTGAAACTTATTGAGCACCCTCCTTACAGTCCATATGTTGATTCCTGCGACTTTGGAATGAAACTAAAAGAAAAGGTTTTCTAGCGATGAAGACCTTCTGGGGGCTTGGGAGCAACGAATTAACTACAATAAGACAAATACGTCCCAAAATCGCGTGTGATATGAGTGATCCAGTAAGCTTGATCGTATAGCAAAGATATAGGTTAACAACATTCCCGCCAAAAGTGTAGTGTGAGGTTAGTTTCATGCACGTATTGTGAGTGTGCACATGTACCTCGATATAATAGCCTTAAAAAACAAAAGAAAAAAAAAGAAAAAATACAAAGAACTATCAGGTAAGCGAGGTAGTGAAATATTTACATTCTAACATATTTTTTCCAACCTCAAAACACTTGCGGGACATATGTGCCAATGGGACACAAAATCCCAATAGTTCTTGTATTTATGGTAGTAATGCATTTTCTTTATTCTTAAGGATGAGCCGACGTTTTTTAACATAAAAGGAACTAGAAAAAATTGCTCAGGAGTTCAGTTGGTCCTCAAGTTCCGAGGAAGATCCTTTTCATGCTTCTGAGGAAGACAGCGATTTTATTCCTTCCGAAAACGAAGAATCTCAAGAAGCACACGTAAGAGACGATTTGCTAGAAACCGATGGAGAAGATGGAGACGCAGAAGATGGAGACGTAGAAGATGACGATCTAGAAGATAATGTAGAAGCTGAAGGTGAGCGAGTGACTGATTTTCAACGGATCTCAATTTTACTCCAAGAAAAATGATTCCTGTTGAAAGAAAAGGAGTGCCTACTGTAGACCTTGACAGATCATCAACCGAGCTACAGGTTTTCTTGAAACTCCTTCCTAGAAGTTCACTTATTCACATAGCAGACTGCACAAATGAGCGCTTGGGTACGTTGAAAAACCAAAAATCAAAAACTGATCAACATGAGATACTGCTTGTCCTTGGATGTACCCTTGTAATGAGTTATAAACGCGTTCCCGAGTTCTGCAATTATTGGTCATCCAATGAATCTCTATCAAACTCTGTCATAAAAAAAGCAATAAGTAGAGATAGATGCACATTCATTCTGTCGAAAGTGTATTATACTAAACCGAATAAGACTGAAACATCATCCAAAACTTATTACTTGGATGAATTAGTTGAATATTTGAAGAAGAGGTTCCAGAAAGCCAGAACTGAATGTTCGCATCAGTCAATTGATGAAACGATGACTAAATTCAAAGGACGATCTAGTCTAAAACAGTATCTTCCCATGAAACCGATAAAAAGGGGAATCAAGCTGTGGCAAAGATGCGATTTCTAAACCGGATATGTTTACGACTTCAATATATATTCTGGTAAAGATGTCGAGAAGGTAGATGGCACCCTTGGGGAACGGGTAGTAAATAAGCTAACAGGGACTATCCAATCACAAGATGTATGCATCTGTATAGATAGATTTTTCACAAGTGTTAATTTGATGGCAAATTTACCATTCGCATGTGTTGGCACCTATATGACAAATCGAAAGAACACTCCAAAATTCACTGTGGCAAAGATGCAAACAGGAAACTGTGAATTTCAGTATTGTAATAAAGGTATTATCGCAATTAAATAGAAGGACACGATAGAAGTTTTTGCTATGTCTAATTGTCATTCGAACGAGATGAGCTCTGTGAAAAGAACACTCATCAGTGGAGAGAAAACAGAAATTGAGTGCCCCAGCATTATAGAGTTTTATAACAAATTTATGGGAGGGGCAGATTTAACGGATCAGAAAGTCTCCACCTACGACCTGGACCGGAAGTCGGCAAAGTGGTGGCGAAAGGTGTTTTACCAAGTGCTTATGACTGCAGTTGTAAACTTTTGGATCATATATCAAGAGATAACACATAAAAAAATTCCACTTATTACATTTTCAGTACCGTTAGCCGAGCAAATTATTGAAGCAGGTAGGGCAAATGCAGGTATCAAACGCCGTCTCAGCGGAAAATAAGGTCATAGATCAAAGCGACAAAGGATAATGGTCAATGTTGGTGCTCACTTACCATCTGAAGGTCCTTCCCGAAGAAGATGTCAGCAATGTTCCAGAAATAACAAAGAGACAAGAACGAAAATAGTTTGTATTGCTTGCAACATTCCACTATGTAAAAACTGTTTCTTGTTATATCATTCATAAAAATAAAATAATCAATTTTATTTCATTACAACATGCCTGTTATTTTCACCACTATAGGGACACACTGTCCTAACCATAACTACTAGTGGTAGATATCGTTCCAGGACATTTTCAGGATAAGCAGAATATTTTCAAAGAATTTATTGCAAATATGTTTCGTTATAGTCACTATTTTACTAAAAATATATATTTGAAACGAAAATTTATTAAAAACATACTCAGTGGTGAAAGGGTTAAGAACTGGTTTTGGCGGATGGGGAAGTGGATTGAATGTGGTGGAAATAACTTTGAACTAGGTCATTAAATAATGCTGTATTGCAAAACTTTTATAGTACCCTTGTATTTTTTATTCTTTATTGAATTCCTACGATAACGGCAAACTGTCTTTGCAAAAGCAATAAGCATGTTTAATTGTGTATGTGAAATACGAATTAATTTCGTTTATCTTTATGAGCAATGACAATGTCAATCACCAGAATTCTTCCTTTTTTGTTTTGTTGGTGACTGGTACTGGTCAAGTGCATTTTAATATCATTGTCGGGTGGCGATAACTAAATATGAACTTTTCACGAATCTTTTAACAATACTATACATTCATTAGATCTAGCAGAAAAGCAACAAGCGTCTATCATGCGAGTTTTGCGGAAAGGTGGGTTTTTGGGGATTCTACTAGATTCCGCGGTTTTGCCGGTATTTTCGACAACATCATTTTCATCGGATCGCATTTTATTGACACAAGGAAAAAAGGTATTTCCAGTGTTTGATAAAAATGAAAGTTCGCATGAGATAAAATCGTAGGCATGACGTAAAAATCCGGGGATCTCCGAGGATTTTTTTTGTAGGTCCAAGGCTTACTACGCAGGCTTACAATTTTTGTTAGAAAACTACTGGTCACAGGTCAAGGACGTAAATATAGGTATGCTATGTAATACGAGCAATAAAATATATTAGACAAAATCGTATTTACCACTAGGTCATTCAACCGTAGATAATAATCGCGATCCAAACATTTAAGAGAAAAAACAAAAAATTGTTTACTTTTTATTTCACTCGATGATTAATTAATGATAAAATATGATGCCTGCCACACGAGTAACTTTACCAGCTTAGCGGAGAGGAAAAACAATTAATTTGTAGATGGAATAATTATTATCATAGTACCTGATTTCGTAGGTGGTAGACGGCCTCTGACTGTCGAACGCGGAGGTACCAGCTAGATTTCGTGTCGTGTCCCCCCTTTCCCTTGTATCTCCCTATAGCCCCACGGTACCCATGAGTATTTAGGCCATATGCCTTCGTAGTGGCTCAAGTATAAAAAAATGCGCATTGATATCCCAGCTAGCACTAGCATGTCATAATTGAACGTTGAAATTTGGTGTTAGCTCGACAACTGACGTGATTGTTCCAATTATCGACGTTGTACTAAATACTCAATTGTGTACGTGCACTGTAGGTCGTTGTTATGACACGTTTTTAAGGTTATCTTTTTTGAATTACCTATATTTTTACATGCACGATGTTTTTGTTAATAATCTTTTCGATTCAAATGTTAGGGGACAGAGAAATAATTATCACATTCCATCCTTGATAGACTTTCACTCAGCAGGTCTAAGTTATTTGAAATGACAAATTATTGAGGTGTTGCCAAACGTTACAGTATAATTATTTATCTTTTATATTTATAGCGTTATTCCGATATTTAATATATTTATTGGGTTTTAAGAATAAATGTGTGCAACATGAATAGTAAATGACCTGACTGGATAGAACATGCAACACAAAACAAAAAAACACATAAATATTACACCTTGTCACCACATGTTCTTGAAAATGTTGTTACGTTTAGTCAGGCAATGCTGTACCGACTGACAATTGACAGTGAACGACAATTGCTGCTGTCCGGTGTTGCGATAATAATGGCGATCTACCAGTCTGTACTTGTTTTCTACAAAAAGTAATACAGACAAAGCGGAATACGGGATGTGCGTGAATAATTGTAGGTAATTCAAATCTACGTCCTTCGTGTGCCCGACTGTCTAGACTGACTAGTATAGGGATAAAACTACATAGACTTCATTTTTTAGCTTTAATTTTTGATTACAGCTCTTTTTCGGCAGAACATCTAGAAATATCTGAATTATTTTAATCGCTTATGTATGACTGGTATAGGGCATAAAACTACATAGAATTCATTTTTCAGATATATTTTTGGTTACAGATCTTTTTCCGTAAAATATCTAGAAATATCTGGATTATCTTAAAAAATCGTGGAAAATGAGGACGTTTTCCGTAAATAAGGTCTCATTTCGGTAGAAATACTGAAAAATCGGTAGGTATCGGAGAGTGGTGACATTGCCAGATGGACTACCGGAAGGGCAGGGAAAGAATGTGTGTATGGCCTTGTTTGACTGACATGATCCGTTGAATTCAACTGATACAAATGTTTGTAACTAACTTTTTTCTCAGATAGTCCAACTTGTGCTGAACAAAGTCCTTTATGAACTGATATGACGGCGTTGCGTGGGAAGTGCAGAGTCAACCTAGTTGACGCCATTTTTTTTGTTGACTGTAAAATTACAGCAGAATGCGACGGCTGCTTGCTCGCATTGTTATTGTTCAGATGCTACCAGCTCTTGGAATTTGTTAATTATAATTCAGAAGAAATGTCTTTCGTGTCCCAATTGAAAATCCACCTTTATGTTGCGTGAGCTGCCTCGCAAATTGTGTAAATGTGAACCACGCTTAACGATGTACTTACAACTGCAGTGTACTTATAAAACTTTTCGATGCGTTCATAGAAATATTCGTGTACGCTGGTCCGTGGTATGTCCAGTTCAAGCACATCGCTCTTGAGAATGTTCTGTTCGTTAGCGGCCGTGCACAGCCATCTAAAATTGGAAAACTCTTTGTGGAAATGCCGTCTGGCCTTGCCGACTAAACACAATGTCGCGCGCCGTAGCATTATTTTGTTTATAATTTCACTGCTGTCGCGATTCGGTCGGTACTAACCGGAATGCATGGCATTGACAAGTGGTACCCGACGCGAACTGCGCTATCTTTGGTTGCTCGACGACAGGCTACATCGTTCACACGTGTGTGGCTCGTAATGAGATATCGCAGTGGCGTAACATTGTGGATAGGAGTAGCTCAGATTGGTGCAAATAAATCGCCGCGCCGGGATTACTTTGCTCCGGCAAAGATTTTTTATAGCGATTAAAATTGAAACTGGGTCAAATACAGTCAGAAGGAGAGTAATGTTCTTCGCGCGTACACTGATAAAACCTAGTCAATTAAACAGTTGTTCTGGAGAATTTTCATTACCCGTAATACATTTTTCAATTACTAATGAAATTATTCGGTTTTTTAAATTGAATTTTCTGCAACCAGGTTAATTGAACGTAATGTACTAGTGATCTAATTTGCTTGAAAATAGCAAACCATGTACCTGTTTAATTAGTTCAAATAATTTGCTTTATATAAGCGGTAATTAAACATTTCATTAAGAACAGCTAAACTGTTTATTTGAATCGCTGTCTCGTCAGGACTCGGCCCTTCATTCGTGAGTGATCGGGAGTATGCGACATACGCAGTGATTTTCGCGAGGAGCTTCATATTCGGATGTTGCCGTTGTTGATGTATTAAATGTGAAGTGGATCAACTATGTTGATCAAGTAAAATACTCTTGACGTGATGGAGTGTGAAGAAATATTTAGGTCAATGAAGGGCATTTATAAGAAACATGTGCTTAGCATAGGCTTGATGTGCCTTTCTTTTGTATTGTATAATATTGGAAGTGGAGCGTCCTGTTGGTGTAGACTTGGAACTATTTGAAAGTATCCTAGTTCATTTAAAGTACTGTCGAATTTCTTTAAATATGTAAATGCGTTGAATACGGGTGAGTGCAATATTGTTTGATTATTAGAAATAAAAGTACAATTTTTGTACACATGATCAAGTGGCATTATTCAGTTTCAGGTATCCCTTTCCATACTTTCTGAATTTAAAACAAATAATTGCTTCTAGTGAATGGTGACACATTATGGACCAACAGACAAATAGTTGGTGAAACTTGATTCCATATATAATAAGTTCACAATCAATGAAAATAAAACATATCGAATTTTGTTAGGGTTATAAAATTCGGAAGTTTGCATTCTGAGTTCAAAACATCAACTATCAATATCAAGTTCTCCAAATTTTTTGATATCTAAGATTAATTAGAGCATAATTATATCTAACATACATTCTTCAGCAAAATACAATTTGTTTTTTAAATTCCAAATATCCTTTTATATCTTAATAAAATAATTCATCAAGACTAGGCAAACACTTAAACTTATTAAACAAATTTAATAAATATCATTGAATTATTTTGCTTGAAGCGGGTAAACTCATTTTAATAGTTCATTGATTTTAAATAAATTGGTGTAATGAACCTAAGTAAACGGTTTTAGGAATTTAATTAAACGTTTGCGTTTTGGCTTAATTAAGCTAGATTCATAGATTCAAATGAACTTTTTCAGTAATCGGAGCTCAACTAGACTAATTAAACTTGCTAGCTGTCACATAGTTGATTACATTTTTCATTGGCCTAACAAAAATTTTTATTTACTCAATTATTTTTTTCTCAGTGTAGGTATATATGTATCCAAGAAATTCTTTTTCACAGGCTATATTGCTAGTATAAGAAGAAAATGGCGAATTTTAATAATAATAATAGTATGTATTCGCCAATATACAAACATGTGCAAATAAATATGAAAAAAACACAGAAGACACCACAGGCCTGTGTGTGGATTACATCTTAATAACTAACAATCAATCATATTTGTATAACAATAATTATTGTTAATTCAAAAAAGTATTTATATAATTTGAATTTTGTAGTTTTAGTTTTCTATATAATTATGTATAGTCATCCGCTGCACAGTACAAACCCAGTCTTTTAATTTTCGTCTAATTTTTTTTCCAAATTTAAGTGTTTTTATTTTGTTTGGTACTACATTATATGCTAAGAATTTAAATGATTTTTTGAATAACGTTTGTGCGTTTCTTGGATATTAGATGAGCCTATTCGAATTCATGCTCGTGAAGATGGGAATCTTGTTCATTACAATGCTTATGGTATAAGGTGGTGGCATGTAAGAAATAAAGTTGTCTAGTATCAAGTATCCCTGTTTCCTGATATAAGTTGGCTTATGGAAAATGGTTTTCAAAGCAGTTTTTTTGTGCTACATCTAGGTCAGAAATATTTGTCTCGCAGGTTGCACCCCAGGCTATGATGCCGTATGTTATATGGGTTTCAACTAAGGCATGGTACATGATTCGCAGATAAGTTTCTGTAAGAAGCACCCAAGCAAAATCACAAGATGGCGCTGTTTGTCAATGGGTGGAACCAACTTCACGAGGGACTAACGATATTTTATGAACCAACTTCTGAGATAGTCGTTAATAATACTATAACATTCGTGTCCAAAGATTTCAACACAATGCTCTGAATCGCTGAGCAAGAAAGATATAATACGTGTAAAATTATACAATCAATAAACTATGAAATTTTTCAAAAGAAAATCATTAAAAAGGGTTTTGGCCCAGGAATCGGAACCCTGCCATTAATAAAGAGAAATTCAAATTACTGATAAGTCGTCAACATAGTGAAAAAGAGGTTACGTGATTTTGGTACGTGACAAGCTTTATACGAGTATATTATGAGGGCGCCGTCTGCCAAACATAATCTTTCCAGTACTGTTAATATTGAATCAGTCATTTGAGTAGATATTAAATAATAGTGGGCCCAGTACTGTTCCTTGAGGCACACCACACTTGATGTACATTTTTTTTACTGCCGGTATGACAGTATGTGCCCGATCTGAAAGGTCATTTTTTAACAGGATTTGTGACGTTCCCCTAAATCCCAATCTTTCCCTAACTTTCAGAACCTCAACATGGTTTACCGTATGAAAGGCATTTTTTAGGTAGATACCAGAAGTAGGTATTTTTTTGTCGACTTTAGAGTTAGTTTCAGCCAAGATTGCGTCTGTAGTCGATTTCCATTTTCAAATCCATATTGGCCAGAACATATAATTTTGTTTTTGTCCAAAAATTGCAATATCCTATTTTGTAATAATTTTTAGAAAATTTTGGCTATATTCGATAGTACTGATATGGGTCTATAATTTGATGTTTTTATTCTGTCACCGCATTTATAAACACGAGTGATAACTGTTGTTTTAAATGAATCAGGACAAATTCCAGATTGGAAACACCAATTAATGACGTAAGACAGTGGTTCGGCTAATTCGTATGCTATTATTTTTAAATGCTCAACGTTGATATCTTCTGTACCAAGACTTTTTTTGTTTTTGAGTGATAGTACAGCTTCTTGTACTTCAATCGGACTAACGCTTTCTAAAAGGAATGAGAAGTTTTTGGAAATATGTCGTTCAAAACATTTTTTTTAACATTGGCTGGTAAATTTTCTACAACATTAATTAAAAAATTTATAATTGCATCAGATATTTGTTGTTTATCTGCCAATATTGTTCCATCACCATTCTTAACTTCATCAATATTTAGCTTAACTGTTAGTTAGGTGATCGGCAACCGACCACAGTTTTCTTGGATCAGATTTGGCATCTTGTAATTTTT